GGTGCTTGGCTCAGTGAGTGGAGCTGCAGGAGGCATGGATGTGGCTTGGCCATATGGGCACAGTTGCAATCTTCAGAACAGACAACAGCAATATAAGATCTAATGAGGTGAAATTCACCATGGACTATGAAGATTCCTCACTTCCTGGACTTCAGTTTTTTGGATAGGAATCAGTGTAAAGTTTTGAGGATAAAAATGTCATTTGATTTATGTTTTTAATAGAATTACTTTATTGCTGTGTTTATGCTGCGTTGTTGTTAGGTGCTGTCAAGTCAGTCCCAACTCTTAGTGATCCTATCTATATACAGCAGAACATGACACTGCCTGGTCCTGTGCGATTCTCAAAATTGTTATGTTGAACTGTGTTTATACTACATTGAAAACAATTTATGAAACTATTGTATTAATCCAGCCAAGCATAGATATTGAGTTAGACCACAGTTATAGTAGTGGAAGTGACAGAAATAGTTGGAATATGGATATGATTTATAGTGATAGAGCTAACTTTTACTGATGGGTTCAGATATGAGGTGCGAATACGAGGCATAAAGAATGCCTCTAAGATTTTTGGCATGAGTACCTAGAAGAATGAATGGTCATTTACTGAGCTGGGGATGAATTATGAAGCTTGGGCAAGGGATATTAGTGGCCGTCTTTTAACCTTATTTGATATGTCCATTCATTACCCAAGAAGAGATTCTAAGAAGTTGAATGAAAGTTTAGAGGTTGGGTGAGAAATGTGAGTTGGGATATAAATTTTCAAACTACTCAGCATATAGATGGTTTATTTAAAGCGATGGAATGAGATTAAATCGCCAATGGGTTAAATACAAACAGAAGAAAGAGTCCTGGTATCGTCTAAAATTGAGAGGTAAGAGAGATAATAAAGGAACCAGTACAGGAAATGAAAGAGTGGCCAGAGAGTGGAAAAGCATAGGAGTGTTCTAGAAGACTTACATTTTCAGGTTAAGGGACCATTTGACATTGATTATCATGAAAATTATGGTGCTATTAATCAGCATGGTTTATGTATGTGTTTCTCCATCTATGATCAGCTTGCTTAGATATGAGCCCATAGTAAATAGAAAAGTTGGATTGAACTAGAATTATTTGTTTAGTTGAAGAAATAGAAAACATAAAGAGGGGTAAAGGGTGATGACAATGACTGTAGAATTTAAGCTGGTTAATAAAGAGGAAAACAAAGCTATGGAGGGACTGGGGAGGGAGCAACAGTGAAAAAGATGATAGGACCAAAATTAGGTCCTGGTAGGGGTAAAGGTGTGGTGCTTTAGGATAAGTACTAGACTGCTAACTGAAAGGTTGGTGGTTCAAATCCACCAGTCACTCCTTGGAAACTATACAGGGTTGCTGTGAGTTGGAACCGACTTAGAGATACTTAGCAATGACACAGTTAAAGGAATGCTAGAATTGGGTTTCCCTGCTGTTCCTGAACAATAAGCCGGAAAAATAGGAGGGACTGGAGAGAACAGTGGTTGAAATTGAGATTATAGGGAGGTTAGCGTAGTGGTTACGAGT